AACTAACCTGTGCAATCATTCGATTGTATAATTATCGAATAGCGTTATTCATGTACTGATGCTATTTGAGCTTATCCCGATATTTTAATTATAACATTTTGTTATAGCCGAGGAAATTTACATGTTTTCCGTCATTTTGGGCTTGAAAAAAATGGTTCGTTATAGCCGAAAATTCTTTGTGAGCGAGTACGTATCAAGCGATGTGATTTAATATAAATTAAAGAAAGAATCAGCCGGGGATGTCAGATTTAGTTCGCTATTAACGATCATTCGCTATAAGCGAGTTCGTTAGAAGTGGAGTCGACTGTAGTTTACAATTCCGTGATTGAAGACACAAGTATGACTTTAACACGAACTTTTAAGATCACACCAAATAATGAACTTAACGAATAACATTCGTGTTTGGGTAACCTTCAGGGCAAGTCCATAAATTTCTATATACCTTTTTATGGTCAATATTTAGTTGCATTATGAAGCTACACGCCAACACTTTAAAGAAAACAGAAATATTTTAAGTGTTTATATTTTATTCATACAAGATGAAATGGCATAATTAGCAAACAAACAGAGCTTATACGTACAGTTGATTTAGTGATATATATAATAGATGTAAGGTTTCAGAAACTTTTGACTGTTACAAATATTTAACCAAATTGTCAAATGAATTTTGGGCTTATATGGTTGTAAAATGACACTGATAAATGCAATGTTGAATTATGAAACATCTATAAAAACACTAGAAAGAAACATTTTAAAGAGGATATAAAATCGAAATATATTTCACACAGTCAACAGCAGATGTTATTTTTCACGATCGGTGTAGCCACGAGTGAGAATATAAGAGTTGCAGCCAATTTCACAGAAAAAATGCAAACAGTATGTTATAATTAACACAAATTAAGTTAAAATTGCTTTTCACAAAAACATTTGTGACGTCATGACTTGATGAAGTCATGGTGGAGAAGTTTATGAATAGTTTTAATGTGAACTGTATATAGAATTCTTGAAATCAAATAATTTGAACAATATTGTTGGTTCGATTTCATTGCTAGCATATACTTGAGGCACATTTGTATTTATTTATACCTTAGTAATAACGTAGCAGACTTTGCTTCTGAATCACTTCTAAAAGATACATAGCATATTTTCATTTTCAATCAATCAGTTTGAATCATTTTTTTCTTCTTATTGTAACTTGATTGTGTTCAATACATATTTCAAGCTCTTTATCACTAGATTTTTAAACCGGAATCAAATATGGAGCATGCACATCAATTAACGTTGCAAGGATGTTTTCATCGTAAAATAAATTGCAAGTGAATTTTCTATCTTAAGATAAAATTTTAACTTACAAGTGGTTATGTAAAAAATGACTTAAGCTTTAACTTACGAGTATCGTAAGACAAAAATTTAAGATAAATCGTAAGACATATTTTGTGAAAACGTCTGCTGATGTTTGATCTTTCATACGTTATTTATACGTTTATTTTATGTTATTAAGGTGTTTTACGGATTATCATTATTGACATTATCAAATCATGACGTCACATTGTTCTTGTTGAAAAAAAAAATGTAAAAGTCTACGAATTTTGATACATTTATAAAACGATATTTGCAGGTATTAATGTGAATCTTCTCACAAACTATTATTATACACCTGGAAATAAATAAAATTGGATGTTGTGATTGAAAGCACTGCCATGAGATGTTGACTAAATTGAGCTAAGAAATAGTAATTTGATAACTAACGATATTAAGTAATCATTCACCAGTTAATTTATGAGTTTCGTTCGTTGGTATGGTGTCGGAACACTTATAAAACCTTAACTGGTAGATATTTTTGGTAAATATTGACGATTACGTAACCTAAAATGACATTATGTAGTCAATTTTCAATAACGTGTGTAACCGCTATGAACCAAGATGAAACTGAGGCAAAATGCCGGATGTGCTTAACTTATTTCCAGGTGTATATTTCACTCACGGCGGAGTCTATTTCTGACGATATTTCCACTAATATATTCCACTCATCCTTTCATACACATTCACATTTTGTCAGTAAACTGAGAAAATTATATATTTTTTAATTATACTGTGAACTTATCAAAAATAAAATTTTACTGTACACTGAATGGCATGAAATGAAAACAGAACGTTGATATTTATCAGTCATTTTAAGTGTCTTTCAATTTATATTTGGCGCTGTCAAATGTAGAATCGATAAAAACATTTTATCATATCAAAAATTCTTTCATCGCAGGAGCTTGAAAAACAGTATTCTCGCGCGTGGCTGCGAGAGAAAATACTGTTAAAGAAGTTCTTATGATGAAATAAAATTACATCTTACAAAACAAACAAACCAATTGTCTTTTTATTCCATGCACGTTTTAATGAAACTTTAACAATGTGTTAATCCATCCAAATAAAACAAAATGCATGATATTATGTAAGAAAAAAGTAATCAATGTAATGGAATTACTTTATGTATTGCAAAATGAAAAATAGAAAATGTAAAAATACAAAAAATAGGTGTTTATATTGAGAATATGTTGTCATGGAATTACCAAATTGAAGCACTTTGTTCAAAAATTAACTGAAAAATAGCATTAATGAGGCATATATATTATCATTTGACAGATGAAATGAAACAGTAATTTAACAATGCATATATAATTTCGAATTTTGATAACTGCTGTACTGTTTGGGGCAAAGTTAATCTAAGGTCGTTAAATAAAATCTATAAATACAAATAGCTGCAAGGGTTATTCTAAACAAACATACATCACGAATAAGAAGACAAGATATACATAAAGAATTTGTGGATGTCGTTCAACGATGCAATGTTCATACTGGAATTCTTATTTTCAAAGCTTGTAATAACCAAGTCCCATCTTATGTATCTGAAATTTTGACTTTTCCAGTAATGAAATTTACAATTTTAGATCATTAAACTATGGTAAAATACTTGTTACAAAGATTTGGAATAGGATACCATATAATATACGTTATTCTAATTATGTGAGAATCTTTAAAAAAAAAGTATTAAAACATATTTTGCAGATCAAATAAATATCTTCATAACTCTGTCATTATGTTTTAATAACTATTATTCATGTATATTTGTTTAAATATTTGTAAATGAAAATTTCATAAATGATATTTAATATTTAAAAGGGGCGTTTGTCAAAAATATTATGGGACAAAATCTTTGTGGAATAGTACACTGTTGTTGTTGTTGTTTTATGATGTTTTGTGTTTGTGTTTTCTATATATTGTTTAGAAGGCCACATTTAAAATTGAGATATGTAATGTGTTGTCTACGATGGAATTATTCATGTTTTTTAAATAAAGATACTATTATTATCAATTTGAATATCAGAATCCTTCTGGTAGCCTCAGATTCAGACGAACTTTTCATGAAATAAAAGTGAGGTAACACAAGAGGGAAAAGGTTAAAAAGTAGTCTCTTTATTGAAAGTGTGATTTTTTTTCTCTTTTTTATACTTTTCACTGTGAAATGATCAAATATAATTTTGTCGGATAAATCAGTAATCCACTCAAAAGCATAAAATTAGGAATGTATATTTAACAAATATATTTATGCAAAATCTGCTAACATTATTTTATTTTTCAAAATGCGTTTCGTTGCAAATAGTATATTATGATATAATAAGGGCAGCCAAATCGAATACACTTATATGGCAAAAGGAGTCCTTGAATTAGTTTTCCCTTAATAGGCAGTCCATTTTTAAATTGGCATAATGTTCTGGTTACGAGTTTATTTTTAAACTGTAAATCGAAGAAATTTATTGATCAAAACCGGGTCCTTTGGCGCGGAACAATAACATTTAAATCATGATATTAGAGCATGTGAATTTCTTTTCCTAAAAGTTTAGCTCTTAATGTGATATAATTTGTCAAAAAAGAAACAAAATTTAAACAAAGTAGTATTTTGACTTCCTTACAAAATACGAAATCACTATAATTGTAATATTTGTCAAAATGCAACTGAAGAATAACATGGCTCAGATAATTGGTTAATTATTTCTTTTCTTTTTTTGAAATTTTTACAGTAAACCGAAACTTAAATGATTTTAAGAAATAAAAATAAAGGCATTTCTGGGCCAGATTAGACCTTTAAAATACTACATGGTATAAATAAGAAGCAAATATGTAAAAGCATAGCTAAATCCTACTTTTTGAAGATTTTAAAATAAGTGAAGTAGCTCGATTCGAAGCAATTTGAAAATGATTTCTTATAATTTATATAAAAAGCACATTTTAAGTTATAAACGTGTAAATATCATTCATTAAGGTTTAAGCACTTTTATTGGTGAATTGTCATGGCTATACTGCAAATACATGTATTGTGTCAAACTTTAGTAAAATGATAAGTCATTACACGGGATGGGGAAATGATGGCGGAGCTTGGGCTATATGCTTCTCAAAATTGAACATATTGTAAATTTTGCTCCGCTTAACCAGATGTGCAGTACCAAACCATATGTAAAAGAGAAAGTTGGTCATTCACAGGGTATCGTTCGGTGGTAGAATTTTGTAAAATATCTGTATTTTGAGTCCGTTTAGCGACATATTTTCTTAATACGCCTTGCATTATTTTGGATACACCATAACCCACAAGAATTTATCGACGAAACATGCAATAAAACCTGGCACGAAATGGGTAAATATTTGGATAAGCCAGGGCAAAAGAATCACATTTCGATTTTCTAAAAATAATAATTTTATAAGAATGTTTAAAAAGTTGAAATCTTTCCCTATCTTGGCCTTCTTTCTATGTCACATATGGTGATATAATGCACATCTGGACCAGTGGAAATTCACATACTTTATTGCCGATGCTCAATTTTGAGATCCATATTGGCTTCACCCCCACCCCCAATGAATTTATTACTGCAAATAATATTCAAAATGACTGCATGCATTGTAACAAACATATTTATACATTAGTGCCAATCACATGAAGAAAAAAAATCCTGTTTATAAAATGTAAACTTTAATTAGTACAGTAACGTTTGGTATAAAACATAAATAACATAACATAATCAAATTTAAAAGCATCTAAAAGCGTATTTAAGTAAGTCACTTTTACATGGAAATGTAGAAGGCTATCAATTGGAAAAGCCAAGAAAGAAAAAAAAAATATCACGGAGTATTTTCTTCAAATTTGCATGATTCAATACAATCATGAGTTAAACACATTGAGGAAAAAGGCCACCATCCTACTTCATTTTTTTAAATCAATTTACTTCAACTTAACCAAGCACCGTTTAAGAAAATTTTATGAGATAATTTTAAATTTTCTTTCTATGCATATTAAGTAAAAAAAGTTGACAAAATTTCCAAGAGGATAATGTTTTACTTTGAAGATTATGTTAAGTGATAAATATGTTTATTTTGATGGTTGGTTCACATCTTACAATAATTATGCCTGCTGAATAAATAAATCTTAAAATATTGAGCTATCCAGTATATGACTATAAACATTTGTTTGTTGCAGCTTTTCACTAATATGTTGTATCCTTAAGAAATGTATTTCATTGTTGCTGCGTATTTTAATATAAATATATTGTTTAAAAACAAAATAATCTTATAGCAAATACTATTACTCTATATATTTTTTTTGGATTTGTAAACTTTTTAAATTTCAATCTCTATAGTTATTTGCTATGTTAAACCGAAATTGAACTGTTTCATCTTTCTAGAAAACAGATTGTTTTCTTTCTTAAATACCAAGAATGTATATTTTGAAAACGAGAAATGCGGAAATATCTTTTTTTTTTTCGTTTTCTTCTACTTCTTAATTTATCAATTCGACATATGATAAAAAATTCAATAAAAAGAAAAATAAAACATTCAGTATTATCAAACAATGACAAAAAAACAACAAAATATTCTATAACAAGAGTGTTTCTAGAATATCCCTTTGTCGGTAAGAGTTTTTCGGCTACTACAAATTTTGGCTTTTTGGCTCTTTATAATGTTAAAACAATGAGTGTTTAGACCCTTCACTGTCACTGTATTTTTGATATTGTGAATATCGCGTATTTCGTCATTTGTTTATTATAAAAGGGCAGCAACAACAAAATAATGACACTCAAAATCAAAAGTCAAAATTTCCATTTCATCAAACACAGACAGGACGTACAAAAGTTTGCATCTCCCCAGCCTGAGCTGTTAAAATGATATGATATTAATTTCCGCTTTTTAGAACCAATCTCAGCAGAACTGTTCTTTTTAAAAGTCGCCTTAGTGCAAAAACGGAATAAGTCCTTCTAAATTTAACATACATTTATCAGTTATTGCTCTAAGGTAACGAAATATCCTTTGAAAGTAGAACTTTTCAATGTGTATGGCTTTCCTCTCGGTAACATGCAATATTTTTGTCTACCAAAGGGTGTTTCATGTAGAGGTTGTACAGATCATTAGCTGGTAATAATGATCTCATACTCTTTAAAAAGGTGTTTAAATCTGAAAAAAATGGATACAATATAAAGGGTACAGAAAACTGATAAAATGTAGGTAATTAAAGCGGGTGATATAAAACATAAACTTAAACATCAATAACAAACACTTATTTACAAAAACGATTCATGTTTGATTTTGTCGTCAAGAAAAACTGTCTTTGAATATCTATGTCTTCAGTTCAAAGTTTGAGTAGATATCGAATGTTCGTAAATACTCGTTGACACAATGATGACAGAAAATGTACTGGTCCTGGAAATAGAATGGTTGAAAATAATGACAAACATCTTACTTGTCCTTAAAAAAGAATGTGTTAACAAGAATAACACCAATTTACTGGTCTTAAAAAAGAACTGTATTATTAGTTTAATGATGACAAAATTTGCTGGTCCTACAAAAAGAATGGTTGACAATGATGACAGAAAATGCACTGTTCAAGGAAGCAAATTATATACATAATATTTTAAAACTTAAGAAAGTGTTTAAATATACACATCTAGAGATCAATATCGATTTATTAAAATAGTTTTCTGTTTTAAACAATCTGTGTTACGTCTCTGTTGTATTATAAAATTTACTAAAGAATGGGTCCAATAAAATGAATTCTCTAGTAAAATAACATCTTCTTAATGACTCAATAATGATTGATACTAAGAGAGGATTAGCGCGATAAGATGGTATTATCAATTTGTTTCCGACTTACTTTATCTGGCACAGCCAAATATCTTCTATATTTTATTTGCCGTACGGTGTTTGCGACACTCACTTCCTGGTCAATTTGTGTTTTCTCCAACAAAGTTGATACAACACAAAATAGTCCTCCTTTTTTAGCTCCAGTTCTGCAACACGTGATGAATATAATAAAATGTAACAATTTCACATTGACAGGTTAAATAAATCATTTGAACAAATTTTACTAATTATTTTACAGGCAGAAACAATAATTATCTTAATTATTAACACTGTATGTTTTATTGTTAATGGCATATTTTTATATTATGATAAATATAGAAGCAAATTAAATGTCTTTTGTAGAATTTTATAAATTTTAATATCAGCAAAATTTCAAATCGGATAATATTGAAATCTTAAACAATGCATAACACCAAATGATTAATCAATAACTGTCCGCACTCCACTTTTCTCAGCGCTGGAAAGTAAAATAAAAACGTCATAGAAAAGGGTACATTACCAGGGGTAAGGGTCTTACTTGAAAAATCCGCATAACTTTACAAAAACAAATAGAATTGGCCAGCGTCTTTTTGCGGCAATAAACATACAAACCAAGTTAAAATTGAATAATTTTTACAGTTTCTGAGAAAACTTGATCTTAACGAAAAGGTTAAGTAACGCCGACTTAATGTGTAGAGCTAAAATGCTACAGGTCTAGTTTGAGTGGGCATATTCAGCGCGCCATGCTGGAAAATACAAGTTACCGTCTACAACCCCATCGGTTAAATCAAAATGTGTCTTTTAAGTACGGACAATTTTGTGAGTGTAAATATTGAACAACATAGTGTTCTGTCGTTTAACGAAGTATTATGTACATGGCTAAAACGCCCAACTGAGGAAAGTCGTGTAATTTTATTTTTACAATTTCTATTCAACGATTGACAGATTACTTTTTGAAAACAAATTTTCTCACTGAGGTCAACTTACAAGCAATGGACCAGCATTGGTCGGTTTGTGTCAGTTCGGCTAAATTTTAGTTCCATATCTTTGACAAACTGTACAAACTTGACGGGCTCTTCTGGAATGCTCTTGTTGGAATCCCATTGTGTGTACTGAACATGTGGTACTATAATCTCTTCTGATCCAGACTAAATGTTGTTATTATGTAAAGAAACATTCATGAAGCCAAAGGCTCAATGCAAAGAAGGATATGATGTGGCTAGCAGCAAATGTAGTCGCATGATGCATGCATTTTAAAAATATTCAAAAAGAAAAAAATCCTATATCAATATAAAGTATTCATAACTTATTCATACAGTTTATAATATTTTTGTATTTAATAAAAAGCTTATTAAACCAGAATGACTATATATGAAAATTCCATTTTTATGAAATGCTTCATACTTTGCTTTTATATGATATTTTCATTTTCTTCAAGTGATATTGGTCTGTCCCATCTCCTCGTTCAGTTTTTATCGTGAAGGCCCCTTTCCTTAACGTTTGGTTATCCACAGGGCAGTAAATTCCGGAGTCCTGAATTAGAAACCCGGGAATAGTACAGAGTTATATGAATGAAGTGCAACATTACGAGAGATCTCCGAAAATGTAATATATATTTTTTTTCACAGAGATATCAAAATAAACAAACACATGATCACGATTCTTTAGTATTCCTATGAAAATAACAGTAGTGGTGTTATTAATTTGTATGATTTATATCAGAAAATCAGGATTAATCGCTAACAAAACGTTTGAACTGCTGAGTTTTTTTTGTTGTTGTTGTTGTTGTTGTTGTTTTATTTGCAATAGTTTTAGTTCTGATTTCACATATGTGTCATTTGCTTATGTGAACATAAACAAATACGTGATTTTTATTTAAATGCATATAAATATTCCACATTTATAATGAAAAGTGTTCCATACTTTACAAGAACAATATTATTTATCGAGCAGAAGTGTAGGCACATTCATATAAAGTTTACCTTATTTTCTGACGACATTGTTTCCATACTGATGACGCATGAAACCTTTTCTTGAACAATTAATTTAAGAAAGTCCTCAACAGTGTCTGTTAAAGGTGTTTGTGCTATCAGGAAACGATTCACGTTTTTGAAACTCTGTAAAGGCAATTGAGTAAAAATAAATCTTGAAGAAGGATAGTTAAACATCGTTCATTAAACAAATATAAGAGAGCGTAAAAAAGATGCTTCTAAAACTGATTTATTTCCTGACATGTGTCAACGGAGTTTGTTTGTATCATCATGCAATATGATATATACTCAAACTAAGTTTTACCGTGTTTGAAACTGTAATCATATTTTACTTACGAAATAGTATAACCGTATAAATGTTTTTATATTAAAGGCATGTATCATATGTTTACTCAACAGAAAGAAAGCTGTATTGTTTTCGAGTCGGATCCATTATGCCTAACGTTATGGTAGAATATAGAAATAATATTTTAATAATTATCATATAATGGTAGTTATAGAAGTATCTTCATTTTAATGGCTTGCATTTGATTCACGTGGATTTTATCAAACATCCGACGCTTCCGCACATCGATAAATCCTATCCTTGTAAAATTTATAGTATCAGGTTCCAGAGAACTTTATTACAATAGAAAACGATTTTTCTTGAATGTTCGCTTTTATCTTAAATCTCTATAACATGTATTAATGACTAAATATTACTAATAAAATTAAACACACAAATTACTTACATTTACGTACACTGCATTGATGTAATCTGATTGACCTGGAGTTTTAGCCATGAATAGCCGAGGTCTGTTACGATCTCCTACAATATACAAGCGCATTTTAAACTGTTCAGTCAGTCAATATAAGCATCATACTGATTAAAATTAGTTGAATATTTTATCAAATATAAAGTTATACATTATTTAAGACAAAGGTCATTAGTTACAGCATAATTCTACCTGTGGTCTTACCTGGGATATCAGCACCGTTTCTGTTCTTATTTACTAAAGCCTTGTTTCTTTTAACAGCTTCCTGTTCATCATCAGTTCTTTGTTCAACAGACGCTTGAAGCTTCTATATCAATGAAGAAACAGTTTAGAGACAAAATTCTTGTTTATATTATACATTGCTAATAATACAAATCAAAATAACATAATTCTAATAGAAATTATAATCATACACTAGCAGGTAATTATCATGCGCTAATGATTCACACACTAAAATGGTTTAATCCAGATTTGGTTCCATCACAGATGAGTTCATGGAGCAATTGTGACACACCATCGGCACTTCCGTGACGTGACATTGATTCAAAAGATTATTTTTAAGTGAGTTTTAATTTTCATTGTATGTTATGTTATGCTACTTAAGGTTAACATGATTGCATGCATTGTTTTTAAGTATTTTATAGCTTTTATAAAACAAGTTAAAAACATGCTTAGTACACATATTCTACTGAAACAAAGGCATGTCTTTTTTAACTTGACATAAGGAATAAGAAAAATCCCAAAGGATTAAATATCATATATATACATTATCCCTCATGTACAGACTCAATCAAACCGAGTCTGCAATTTTCATGTAATTTTGTTGTGATTAATGCTTCCGAGGGATCATTTTGTTTCCAGTTTTTTATGTATTGATGCAGCACAGCGTTTATAATATAAGAAAGTATAACCAGCGACTATTTTAAGTCGGCATAACTACATCTTTGAGGGGGGAAAATCGATTGACAGAAAATCACACTCGCTTGTTAAAATCATATTGCACCAAGTGTTTTTATCATTCTATTGTAAAAGCTGCTGTTCATCTTAAATAAATTCACCATTTAATTCAATATCTATATGCTTGAGATTTACCTGACTAGAACGATATATATGCTGGTAGAAAATTGCCTAATTTGAAATGTTCAACTGTTTTCGAAAAGGGGTTCATTGAAACATATTGCGCTTACACTTTGTGTCTTTAAAAGGAGGGAAGTGCACAAACCAAACAAGTTAAATTTGTAATATCGGAACAAACATACCTCAAACATATTCCCCAGATGATCTTCGGTATGCGTCTTCATATATTCATTAAACATGGAGGCCTCAACAGCTTTACTGTCAAAGGTCAGAGTGTGAACTAAGGCGTTATGAAGGTACTGGTATTGTTCCTGTAATTGATTAAGAACGATTTACTGACCATTTTAAATTTATGCACATTTGTTTATTGATTTCTTGATATCACAATTATAAAATTTTACTTCTATCGTTTGTAATCATGCATCTGGCATGGCAACTGCCCGATTTTGCCTGTTGCTTATTTCTATATGAGGCTAACCTCACATATTCTAACAGACCTTTCTCAATAGCTTATAATCTATTGTTACAGCCTTTTAATTCTACAATTTTATCTCATATCATTTTCAAAGTTTCTATTTAAAACGTAACATTTATTTATTCAGTAAGCCTTGCCCTTTTACGCAAATATCAGCCTCGCCTGATAAAACTGTTATCAAAAGACAAAAGCATGTTATTTTCTATGAAAATGATCAATAACATAATGTTAATTCAGTCCAACACTTAACAAAGGCAGATGATATGAATCTAATGATAACTTACAGCTGTTTGTATCATGTTTACCCTCTGTTCTCTCATATTCCTTACAAATGCATATATATCTACTGCTCCCTCGGTTTCGCCCTCATTTGTTATACTATCTAAAGCAATGTACGTACCAGTTCTACCTATTCCGGCGCTGAAAACAAAAAACATAATAATCTTGTTTTTTTCCCCGAAAATACTTGAAGATAGAGTGGTTTTACCAGATCGTTTACATTACATAGACAGTAGAAATGTTCGCAAATACAAATACAATATTAAGACTGATGTATACTGTCAGTGGATGGATAAATTTGAAATAATTAGATTAACCTTATATAGTCACACTAAACGTAATAAACAATGGTTAACCAAATACAAATGTATAACGATATGCCCTCATATGTATACTACCTGCAGTGTACAAGAATAGGGCCATCTAGTTTAGTCTTAGTACTGTTAACCTTCTGTCTAAATTCTATCAAGCTCGTGACGTCATCAGGCGTTCCTTTGTCAGGCCAAGCAGTAAAATGGACTTGAACTATTTCTCTTTTGATAGAATCCTGAGGAAGGAAGTACAGTCAATATCGTTAATGTCTTTAAATGTAATATACAATCAAGCAATAAATACTACTGTGTAAGTGAGCATGAAATTATAGAGTTGATGTTTGAATTGTTAAATTATATTGAGATATTTCAACAACTGCTTAGCATACTTCATTATGAACGCAAACTTAATTAATTTGTTTACGTTTTGCTGTACGAATATTAGAAATTTCAACATAATTTTAAAATAATAGAATATAATTAAGATAATAGACCACAGAATTGTTTTGTAAAGTCCATTAGTTCTATATAAAACATGTGTTTTTAGTAAACCCCTGAAGATATAAAGAAGTTACAAAAAAGATAATTCGGAAAATATTGATATAAAAGTTATGAACATTGACACTTATTATTTAATATTATATGGGACATGATTTAAAACATAAATTTAATTTTAAAAGTGAATTATTTGAAAAAAGAGAAGTTAGATAAAAAAAAACAACATTTTTTATAAAAGAAATTCAAGGGGGGATAGCTCTTGAAATATTCATGCTAGTTTATGAACCTTGTCATACATAATACGTTCCAGAATAAAAAAGGAAATTCCAGATGTCCTTTTTCCGGGGGTCTACCTCTATGCACTTTTTCAGCAACAAATTTACATGCAGAAAGAGACAGATAGAGTTAGGGGAATAATTCCCCTATCTTTTAAACCTCAAACGCATTGTACCTGTCCGTTTTGCGGATGATATTCCTCTAACTTTTCATATGGGTTTATTTTATTTATTATTTTTAAGGATAATGTTGGAAATCGTTGTTCGGAGTTATTTGATGAACACATATACGTATACATAGAAGAATACATGTATGTTATATTTCTTATACTTTTTGAAATGGGTAAGTAATACTGTCATTAATGCAGTTCATTCTCCGAAATCAGTACGGGTGTTCGCATATGGTATAATTCTGTTCAATACATGATGCTTTTTTCATTGCATTCCTCATGCGTTAGTATGTTCTTTGCCTGTAATTGTTATTTATGTAGATGAAAAGTTTTATGATATATGGTTTATCCCCGTTTTAATAAAGATGGTATGATCAATGACAAAATGGAGGGTAATAATATAAGGCAAGCATTTGTTTTATTTTTTGTGACAATTCGTTACTTTATTTAACATTTTCCATCATGCATCATATTGTTACAGTGAGAATATGTAGTAAATAAAACAAATATAAGAAAAAATATTTAAAAGCTATCACAAATAAATAAAAATGATATTAATATTATATTTTTCAAGCTAGTAATAACATATTATTGTCAATCAGCTATCTGTTTATACAAAATACTTATCCATTTACCTAAAGTGTAATCATTACTTACATTAATTATCACCATTTTTAGGAAAAAAACTAGTGCAAATATATAATATTTATAATATACTTATAAATAAAATATTGAAAAATATTGATGTAATAAAATGCGTATTTTCATTTTCCGTATTTTAACTATAAAAATCTATTTTTCACAGCAGTGAAACATATTTTCCGTATTTTCACTGGTGTCTTGCCGGACTACTTTCTTTTAAATTCTGCCAGTACACAAAATTTTAGGGAAAGTCTTTCAAATTTTAGTGTCAAAAAGAGAAAAATGCATATAATTAACAGAAAATTCAAGTTTTTTTATAAATACATGATTTATTTTCATCTTGTAGCATGAAAATTACCATATTTCACTGGTGGCTACCGCCACTCATGAAATATTTATTTTCATACCAATCGATGAAAATAAATCATGTATTTATAGAAAAATCTTGAATATCCTCTATTTATTTAGATAATAAATAAAATAATAATGATAACACAAATAAACAAATTATAATAATAATAATGATATTAAAATGAGAAAAAAAAAATTGTCAGTTACTTTTAGTTTAATATTATACTATTTTTTCTCATTTTACTATAGTAACTATGCTTAGAAGTCTTAAATATTGTGCTTTAACAATATAACTGTTATATTTACCGGTATGTGTTTTCTTTTCAAAATACCAATTATTTCAGGAAGGACATAGAAAAGTTGTTTGAAGTGGCAAATAGGTGAAAGATAAGCTCCTTTGCTTTCTAACGTTTAACAAAAAGAACAGGCAATTTATTCGTAAAGTACATGTTTTTTAAAGCAGTTTATATAGCATTTCATGATAGTATGATTTTTATTTTATCCTTTTTTTAATTATTCATAAATAAATAAAGGGATGAATAGATAAGTAAATATAAGTAAATACATGTATAACTATATGAAAACTAGTAAATAAATAAATAATTAAGTAAATAAATAAATCAATTTATTAATGATGAATAAATAAAATGAAGAAATAAAGATAACATTAATAAATTAAAAAAATCAATTAATAAATTAATAAATTAATTAATTAGTTAAAATAAATAAATACATAAATTATTGATGTAATACAAAGTGCTTGAAAAGTGAAAAAAAAACATCAAATGGTTAAAATGTAGTAAAAACTGCGGTATATCAATATTAATTGTATATGCGATAATGTGAGTTTGGTGTCATGAAAATCTTTTGTTTTAATGATGAGTAAATATCATAATTATATAACCCGGTTCAGAAAGAAGACATAGCTCATTCAACCAACGTTTTATTTTAAAGATTTTATGGTAATATGACACGTCTTCAATTGCTAATAATTTTGAAATAATATTCAAGACCAATAATAATAATAATAATAATAAACTTCATATATAAGCGACTTCAACTGATTTTTTTCATTCTTTTTTTATTTTGCCCGGGTGATATTAAATGAGAAAAATAAGTTTATGTCAGTTATTTGAAGTATAAAAAATCATACTAAAAGTTACTGACATTTACTATTTTCTCATTTAACTTATAAGCCTTGAAGTCTTCATGAAAAGATCAGATAAAAAGTTGTGCTTTACCAATATAATATGACTGTTACATATACCGGGATGTGAAATTACCCATTACTTCAGTATGGGCATAGAAAAGTTGTTTGAAGTGGCAAAAAGGTGAAAGATAAGCATCTTTGCTTTCTAACCTTATAGCATTGAATGATAAGAAGAATTTACTTTTCTTTTTTTATATCTGATAAATAATCAAATAAATGAATAAAGGGATGAACAAATAAGCAAATAGATAAATAAATAATTAAATAAATTTATGAATGAATAAATAAATATATTTATTTAATTTTACCCATGAAATATGGTGCTATATCAGTCAAATATATTTCATATTTTTTAAAAATAAATATGAAATATAAATATGAAAGTGGGCGGAGTCAAAAATCATATTTATTTTAAGGGACTTCTTTCGCCGTTTTGTTTGAAAAATCTGATGAATACAAAACAATTTTTTCTTGAATTTTGTTTTGAAACTATCTAGCATGATAGAAAATGATCTAACTAAGAAAATTAATCCGAACACCATTATCTTTAATTCAGTAATTAACGCTGTACAGACGTTTAAAGAGTTGTTTACATGACGTCACAATGTAGCGCCAAACAGCGCGTGCTTACGAATAAATTACTGCGCGCTTTACAATTGCAGTTGGTAGCAAGCAAGGGGATTCGTTACCATTTTCTTTGATAATGAAATTAAATAAAAAGGTTATTTTTTCGTTTTTCGTGAAATATGGTATATATTTTCACTCAACATGATAAAATGCCACGTATTTTCACTCGCCGTACCGGCTCGTGAAAATATGTGTCATTTTATCATGTTTCGTCAAAATATATTCCATATTTCACGCAAACGAAAAAATATCCTCTTAATATAATTCATTGATTTAACATAAGTTGATTGAAAAGTGATAAAAACATAAAAATGAATAAATAAATATATATATAATTCATTGATTTAACATAAGTTGATTGAAAAGTGATAAAAACATAAAATGGTAAAAATGTAATACAAATGCGGTTTATCATTATCATTTATATATGCAATGATGTGATTAATTGCTGTCATGGAAATCTATTGTTTGTATGCTGAGTAAATAGCTAAATTTTATGTTCAGAGGGAATACAAAACGCATTCAACCAAAGTTATATTTTATGGTTATATATTGACACATCTTCATCTGTTAATTCTTTTGAAATAATATTCAAGTTTATGCGGACAACTAACACATAGCTGTCTGCTTTGCATGTATGTTCCATAAGTGCCAATTCAATGTTCTAAAATATCTTTACTCAAAGAAGTTAGTAAATTTATCAGCTATCGTACAAACTCTAGTTGTAAAATAATGTCCATTTTTACAGACAGTCGATTCCACATTTATCATTTCGCTAGTATTCAATAAATACACTGAAGCACTAACAGTGAAACCGCATAACGCGGAAATAACACAAGTTGAACATTGTGTTTGTG